TATTTTTTTTGTTTTTTAGAAAATTTTTGTTTAAGCTTTATTTATAAAATAACTTAATAAATTTTTTTTAAAATATACTTGTTTGTGACAGTTTAAAAAATTTTTTTTTAGATTTTTAAATATTATCTAAAATTTTAAAAAATAATTATTTTTTGATAAAATTTATATCATGTTATTCTTAAGTTCTCAAATATATTTGAATAAAATTTTATAAAAATTTAATGATTTTTTTATTTAATTATAAGATAAAATACAAAATTAAAAAAATTTCAAAAATATATGACTTATACTGTATAATAATATAAATATATATACTGTATATATTTATGAATATATTTAAAAATTATATATAATATTTATATAAATCATTAATATTTAATTTAATTATAATTTATATATTAATTTAAAATATATTTGTTATTTTTTAAAATAATTTATAATGAAATAATTCATTATTAATAAAATATATTAATTTTAATTATCATTTTTAAAAAGATATTATTTATTTATTTATATTTTTTAAATTTAAATACTTGTAATTGTTTTTTCAATTTTTTTTTATAAATCATTATTGGGAAATATTATAAATAATTAGATTTATTAAAACAATTAATTATTTTGTGAATTATTATATTATGATTTAAATTAATTATTTAATATTTTAATTTTTTAATTTTAAATAGATATTTATAATTGTTTGATATTATATAACAAAATATTATATGTTATTAAAGTAATTTATTCATTAAATATTAATTATCTAGGTATTATAAGCAAACCAACATTTGACTTATTGTATTTACAAGTTTTTTTTACAATATATATCATAATACATGTATATAGATTAAATCAAGAAATAATATTTATTTACCAAAAAGATATTTTATTAAAATTATAAGTAGTTTCATTCATCATTATTTAATAAATTTCATTAACAAGTATAATATATAGTACGTGTACAGCATATATATGTTATTTAAAAGATTTAAAAAAAGTAATGCATGACACTTTTTAAAATGGATGTTCTTTGAAATTGTTTTATTGATCGTTTTTTTTATAAATACAGTACTCTTTTAATTTGATTTAATATTATTAAAACAAGTTTTTTTTAAAAAAAAAATATGCTATCGAAAAACTTTTCATGAAAAGAATATATTAATAATATAAAATAAATTGATAGAATAATATTACAGTGTGATTGCTATTATTATTTGATAGGATTGGGCGGCATGTACATAATGAAACATAACTTAAAGTGAAGCATAATATAATTGTATAGCTTATCTAAACTCGTTGAAGTTTGTGAGGGAAAATGGGCAATGAATGAGATGTGGTTTGCATATATTTGATGAAAATTGGTGAGTAATGAATGAGGCGTGGTTTGCATATACAGTATTTGATGAAAATTGGTGAAAAAAAATGAGTAATAAATGAAGAGTAATTTGCACATATTGAATGAAATTTATAAAGTCCCAAAGTCCAAAGTAAAAGAGATCTATCGCCTAAGATCTCTTTGTTATTTTTTTAATTAAAAATTTTAGATCAGCACATATGGATCCAAAACAACCGTCATCGACTTCATCTTCGTCAAGATACACTTCTGATCGGCGTTTAGCAAAATAACTACTAACTCGTCTGCTTTTCCTTCTTGATATAAAAATAGGTGATGCTATACCGTTATCATTATCGCTATTTTTTCTCTGCAGGGTTATCAAACCAGGGTTATGAACGGAAGTTTGTTCACGAGCGATTTGTCCTTCGCTATTCATTTATGGAATAAAAATAAATTGAGGCTTGTTTATACAGTATATGAATTTTATTTTTCTTTCGTGTTAGCGAATGCGTGTCGTAATAACGCTTTGTGTTTCAAGAATTTAATTTTTTTTGTAGTAGCAAACATGCCATATTTATACTTTTTTTAAAATCAAAAAGCAAGGGGAATTTCCATTTTTCTATTATTAATCAGCGCGTTAACTTTTTTCTACTGCGATGAATGGCGTCAAATGTGCTATTACGCAATGGAAATGGCCTCAATGAATGTGGCGCGCAATTTAATTCCGGAAATTCCATGAGCTGATGTGTGAACGAAAAGTTATAAATAACCACATGACATTCGCCAAATAATCTACTAAAAAAACGATACCCCTGAATATTTTAATAATGTTAATGATCATCCTAATTTCAATCCTCTCTATATGACAAACAATAGTAAACGGATTTTCGATCAACGATGATTAGCATAAAACCTCGATCTTGTTAGAATGAAACCTTGTTCGCAAACGATCTGAACGATGATTGGTTTTTAATAGTGCTACAAAAAAACCGGTATGATATACTTTTCGCAATTGCATTTTCTCAGTAGAATTACTTTACTTGCCTTTAATCAAATTATGAAATCATTCATAGGTAATATTTTTATCACATGCACACCGTTATTTTATTTTGCGTGTTACAGTAATAATTTAATAATATCAAAAGGTTGTTGATAAAATTAAAAAATCTTATGAAATAATAATTAAACGAGAATTTAAAGAAAACCAAATCGAAGAAAGTATTGTATGCAACCCAAATTTTAAAAATATTAAATTAATAATCATTTTTGTTTTATAACGGCTCTCTGATCTTATTGAATGTTATCAAATATTCGATAATAATTTTTGTTTCTTTTTTTAAAAAATATAATATCAGAAATATGAAAAATAATATATTAATCAATAGAAGAAACATCAGAAAGTGATTGCTATTATTATTTGAAGGAATATGCTAGTAATGAATAAAGTGTAGTTTGTACATATTAAACAAAGTCCCAAAGTCAAGAGATCTATCACCTAAGATTTATTTTTTATTTTTTTAATGATAAATTTTAGGTTCGCCCATATGGATCCAAAACAACCGCTATCGAATTCATCTTCGTCAAGATACACTTCTGATCGGCGTTTTGCGAAATAACTACTAACTCGTTTACTTTTCCTTCCTGACTGAGAAATAGGTGATATTAGATCGTTATCGTTAATGTAGTTATTTTTCTGCGGGTTATGAGCGTAAATTTTTTCACGAGAGATTCGTCTTTCGTTATTCATTTCTGCTTTATATAACGTTGACTTCATGACTAAAAATAATTAAGGAGATTTTTCACAGATTTTTTTTTTTGTGATAATGAATGTATTATATCATATTTATACTTTTTAAATGAAAACTGCAATAGATATAACCCCGATGGAAGTACTATGAGTACGGCTGTTGTGTGAACGTAAGCTGTGAATAACCACATGACGTTCGCTAATATAATCTGCTAAAATCATCATAGCTTCAAAACTTAACTTCTCTCTTTAATGACTAGCATACAACTTTATGATGAGATCTCAGTCTAAACGATGATTGAGTTTCAAGTGTTTTAAAAAAAAAAAAAAGCGGTATAATACTGTTTTTTCAAGATTCTAGAAATTTTATTAGTAGAATTAATCAAATCATGATGTCATGTTAAAACATCAAGTAGTTAATGGTTAATACCATTATTATATGCACACCACTAATTACAGTATTTTCGATCTCGATTTTTATCCAATAAATTTGATACCAAAAAAGTTAATGATATGTTATAATCATATACAGCATATGCATGAAAACCCAAATTTTAAAAATGATCAAATTAATAGGTTGTTTTATTTAATACTATTATATATTTGATAATGGTTTGCGATTGCTAATGGAATATAAGAAACATATGTACTTGGATATAGAGTCTCATAATACACATCCAATGTTATGTTTGCATTTAGATAGTAATTTGATTTATTATTTTCGAGTGCCGACTTGTTACAAGACCATTAATATACAAATTGAGTGTTTCAATGATTGTACACGTTTTACAGTATAATACTACATTTTGAAGGTGCTAAAAAATGCAAAAGAATTTTCGCCAAGTCTAAAAATTATCGTGCGCGATGCAATGTCCATACCGTAACCATTACCCAGCAATCCCTCACAGTGTTCAGAATTCAAGAATAAATAATAATAATAATAAAAATAAATAAACAATATATACTTTGTAGATGTTAAATAAAGATAGTAAGCTTATTTTTAAAAGAAAAATAAAATTCATGTCAAATTGATCATACGTAATTGCTTAAGGGTGGTGAATGGGTTGATTATGACAAGTCGAAAAAATCATATAAAACGAATTGAATAATGTGTACTTAATGAAGCATAAGGAAAGGTTTTACTTAAAGACAAAATTTGGATAGCTTATTTAATTGATTGGAATTCGTGAGGGAAAAAAATGATGGAGTATAATGTGTATATATGGAATGAAGATTTTCATAAAGTCCTAAAGTCCGAAAAAGTCAAAAGTAAAAGAAATTTATTGCTTAAAAGTCCTCTTTGATTTTCTTATTAATTTTCTAATTCTGAATTTTAGATCTGCACATATGGATCCAAAACAACCGCTATCGAATTCATCTTCGTCAAGATACACTTCTGATCGACGCTTTGCGTAATAATCACCAACTCTTTGTTTGCTTTTCCTTCTGAGCATGGGAATGGGTGATTTTATACTGTCATCGTTGATGCTATTATTATCCTGCGCGATTTTCGAACTAAATTTACGAACGAGATCCCGTTCACGATCGATTCGTCCTTCGTCATTCATTTCTGCGAAATTTGTTTTATAGAACGTTGACTTTAGAATTGAAACGAAAATCAAGCTAGGGTTTGTTTATGCGTCTTTATTTTTCAACAATTTTTTTTGTTTTTTCGTGGTTTTCAAGATTTTTTTTTTTTTCGTAGTAACAATGTGTGTCTTATTTATATGCTTTTAATCCCATTAAGAACGGCTGGGGAAAATCAAAAAAAAAATTTGTTTCCTAAATTCAACTAGCGCGTCTATTTTTTTTAAAAAATTATTTTTCTTTGAGTAATGCTATCATGCAAAAGAAAGAGCCTGAATAATATAACCGAAATGTAGGCGCAAATTTTAATTCCGAAAATTCCGGGAGAATGTGAGCACCATAAAATGCTACGGCAACTATGGCATACGAACTTAAGTTGGTTATAAATAACTACATAGCATTCACCAAACTATCTACGCGGTCAGGACTCGGGAAAACGGTAACCCATGAATATTTCAATAATAAGATTATTTATGGTGATAATCGCCATGATTTTACATAATACGAGATTTTCGATCAACTGATGATTGGCATGCTACTTCAATCCTGTTCTTGAAGTCTAGAACTGAATCCGGATCGCAATCGGTCTAAGCAAAGTATGGCATTGACAATAATGCAAACTACCAGTAGAATTTATTTTCCGAATAATCTGATTGGAATGCATTTGGAAACTTGATTAGCCAAATTTGCTTGTCTTTGATTAATCAATTATGGTATTATGTCAAAGTATGCATGGGTTCTTTTGAAGAATTAGTAAGAATAATAGTTTAATAGCGTTGAATGGAAATCTAACCAGGTCATGAAATTGTCAAACAATGCAGTACGTGGTATAATGACTTATAAAAAATCAAAATATACGGGAAATATTCATAGAATGTCAGATCAAAAATTTTACATGTCATCACGATTGTTCCTTTTATTAAAAAGAAGTCTTTTAATGGAAAATAGGATTCAAATATTTAAGTATCGTCAAACTTTTAGATTAATAATTATCAAATGTAATTTAAAAAACAACAGTTAATAATATTATTGTTTGAAAAATTAAAAATTATACTGTATATAATTATTTTTTTAAAATATTAAAATGTAAAATGACAAACAGTTCATTACTTTAATATACCGTGTATACAATATGCGAAGGAAAAAAAATAGCAAAAATTTTTATATTAAATAAATTAGCAAATAAAAATATTATAAATAAATTTTATATTAATTTGATGATAACCAATTATTTTTTATTTTTATTTTTAATAGTTAAAAAAACCGATTAAATTAAATAACAAAAAATTTTTTTTTGCATTAATATATTGATAATACTTCAAATTCTTATTTTTTTAAACAATATTATACACATGCAAATATTTTTATTTATATCCATAAACCATAACTATTTTTATTTGAATAAATAATAATAATAAATAATCACAAGTAAACGCGTTTTTTTTTTACATAGTTTTAAAAAAGCTAGCTCTGAATTTGATTTCATTTAAATTTATTGTTTATGAAATTGGAAATAAAAATATAAATTGTTATATACTGTATATATAATATAAGTTTTATTATATGTTGTATATAATATACTGTACTGTATATTATCATATCAATTGTTTTTATATTGAAGAATTAGAAAACTCAATTTTTTAAACAATGTTTTGTATGCTCATATCAAATCATCTATAATAATTCATTTAGAAATCAAAAGGTCTGGATTTTCCAAAAAAAAAGATTCCCGGAACATTAGTTAATGAGGATGATCGGTGGATGAAACATTAAAATTTTTAATTAATTATTATATGATTGTTTGTTGTAATTATTTATAGATTTTAATTTTCTAATTTTACGCATAAATACTTTCAATTAGTTGCAACCATACCTAATACCACAGATACCGCCGCTCAATAACACTTATGCAAAAATAATGATTAACCATATACGGTATACACAACGGTCATATGGGCAGATGAATGAATGAGTGGCAAAGATTTATGAAATCGACCGGCAAATTCACAATCAGAGATCAAGATCAATTCATCGTTAAAATACATTTTTTTTTTTTTTTTTTTTTTTTTTAGATCTTAAGAAATCGTGTGGCACGCAGTGGTGTAAATATATGTCGAAAATCGTTGCATCCATCTTCTATTATTCACTTATTTAAGAAAAATTTGTTTCGGAAAATAACAAGGCAAATGCTGAGATCTTTATTATTGAAAGAATTTGCATATAAAACAAAAAAAACTAGGATGTTGCATATAACAAAGAATCATATTTCGCGGGCCACGATCAACAGCATGCGCCATCATTACCTTTTTGTATTCATGAACTGCGTAGTACACTAATTTTTCTTCAGAAGGTTCTGAATTTCCAACGAATTTTCTTTAAATAATCGGATACACAGTTTCACCTATCTTTCCGTTAGACGGATATGAAAAACGTTACGTTGACGTCAACCAATTTAGTGATAACTTAAAACAATAATTACATAATGTTATCGCCTTAAGTTTTTTACGCAGTTTCTGTTTCCAAATGATGACAAGGCATATTTTGTGCGTATATGATTGGCTATTCCAGAAGCATGACATATGAAATCAAGGCTTTGCAGGTTGCGCGCCCCATGAGTGATTGATTTGATTGATGTGATTTGTTCTCCGTAAACCTAAACTTTCTCCTCATTCTGCACACGTGCATATTTATTTGTTCCGTGATTCGGATCAAATGCATACGACGATTATAAAAATCACGTTTCAAGAAAGCACCCACGTTGACCTCGAATAGATGATTCGCCGCCCGTCATGTAATGTACATTTCGGGGCGAACATTATTTATGATAAATACGTAATCATGCTTTTATTTATAAACAAATTATATTCGCGGCGTAGTTAATTCCATCCTACATTATGACGTACACGAATTAATCAAACTTTAAAACGGAACTTTCTTCTTTTCTGCCATTATAATTTATCTCACTTTCGTCATTTTTCACGATATTCCTTTGTTAGGAAAATTATAATGTTCTCTTTCTTTTAGTAAAGTGTTTCGTCTGTTGCGTTCACATCGTATGCAAAGTATTTGTTTATAATTAAATTGGTTCTTTCATCAGAAAATATTTGCATACATACGCTGTGCATAGCCAACAGAGCCGGATTTTAAAATACTCGCCCATCAGTAGATTCAAAGTATAATCTTGTTTTCTAATTTTAGAAGTCCCGAAATATTTTGGTTTATAAAGACGTTTAAATTCCAGCGTCCTCCTTTCCTTGAAGAAAACAACTTTACGAGTAACCTTCAAATTACATTATCCAACAATCTCTGATATTTTTAAACATCCTTGAACGTAAAATGGTGGCTCTCTTGCTGATACTTACCGCATTAGGTGTGGTCGCCTTATTTATGGGCGGTCTAAGAATCATAGCAGGCGCAAGAGAACGAAAAAGATGTTGAAATTAAAAGCACAATTGCCAAAATTACACACAGTATGTAAACCTTTTCCTTTTCACCTTGATCTTTATGGTAACTATTTTTTGCTCCTCGCATAATTATAACGACCAAATTTATTTCACAAAATAGTCTTTCATCTTATTCCGAATGAACATTCTCCTTCCATCCGATTACAATGCAAGCATACGCCAATTTTTTGTCGATCTAATCACAATCAATCGGCATCAACCTTTTGGGGAAAGGTGTATTCAACATTTGCAAAATGGTTAGAATCCGGTGAATCATACGTTGAACCGAGGAATTGTTCCAAATAGTTTCTCATTCATTATTTTTTGTAAATATTTCATCTCTCAATCTGTACAATTTTTTTTTCAAAGACAATTTATATATGCTATTTATTTTCGAGATTATATTTAAATATGTGCTCATATTTTTTTGCAATCCAAACCTAAGATATCTTCAATAAAGATCTTTTTTTTTCTTGGCATCCCACATTTTCGGATCATGTATAACAAATAATAAGATTTACACGAGACAATCAAAAAAGGTCTAAACCGAGTTCGTAACGTCCATTTAGAAAATTTAATTTATACAAAAGGAGACAATGAACTTAAACGGCTAGTTTTAAAAAAATCAATTAGATTAAAAAAAAAGAAAGAGAATACTGTACACAGCATGTATGAATTAATCAGACAAATGGGCGGGAATGCGCAGATGGGATGGGGCAGGCTTGTTCGGGAGTGACAATCCGGACGTATTTGTTTCATGCATTTTGGAAACGAGTCAGCCTCACTTTAGTACAGTCTTTTAGAGAAAATTAAAAAGGTCATTAAAATGGGTCCTTCAAATATACACGTAAACGTGTAGATATACAATACATGCATGTGTCAATGGAATGATATTCAATACATATTGTGTATTGACGGCCTGGTTCGAAAAATAAAAAAAAACTTTACGTTTATACGGTAATAAATAATTATCAATAATTGGAAAATTTTACGCACAAATATTTGAAAAATAAATTAATATTTGGGTGATATATTGTTAAGCCTACTGATTTTATTTATTTTCTTTTAAAAATATAAACATAAATATACATATATAAAATAGGAGTTTTCATTATATACAATCTGATGTAAAAGTTTTTAAAAATTTTAAATTTTTTATTTTAACTTATAATTCAATACCTAATTAATAATACAATATACAATGTGTGTGATGAAAATAATTAATCAACGTTTTTTTATAAAATTATAAATAAATTTTGATTGAAAATTAGTTTATTAAAACCTATTAATGTAAATTTTAATTTATATTTAATATTGAAAGATTTTATTATATTGATATTTTTATAAAATTAAGTTAATTAAAGCTTGGCAAAATATAGATAACATATATGAAACTTTAAAAATTCAAGAAAACAAAAAGTTTTTAATTATTTTTTGAATATATTTTTTGAATTATTTTTTTAATATATTTTTTTAAAAGTTGTATTATTTATTTTTAATTAATTAATTAATTTTTGATTAAAAACAATAGTACAATA